TTTAATAAATTGAAAATTCAGACAAAAAGTTATTAATAAATTAGATGACGTCTCATTTTGAAGATTGAAAATTAAAAACAAAATTGCTATAATTTTTATGTATTTCCGATACCAAATATTGTAGGGTCAAATGGTTGTCCTATGAGATTAGTCAAAGTGCCTATAAACTAGTTCGGACACTCACGAATATTAAAAAAACAAAAAGACAAAATTATTATAATAGACAGATTAAACTATTTCCAAACTTTTGAATTTCTTATCAACATAGTTATGAGAAAGGAAGGTGAATTCATTGAATTGGTTGGCATTCATTAATTTATAATATATTCCCATACTTTCACTAACCCATGTGTGCTAGGGTGTCAACTCTTTTATTTTACTTTTAATTTTTATTAACTGATTTCAACATATATAAAAATGGTTATTAGAAAATTAATGAAAATTGACCAAAGTTATTATTATTATTATTATTATTATTATTTAAATAAACTTTATTGAGGAAAATTAGCTAGATAGAAGCCATGTAAGGTTATATGGACGAAAAAAAGGTAGCTAAAACCCTAATATCTGAAATCCAGATTTCAATTTGATTTCCCATTGAATTTCTCCATTGATAAGGTTAATTTCTTACCGAGAATTCGACGGAAGAACAACATTATCTAATTCCAAAACATTTGGACAATCAAATTCCATCATGAATCGCAAAAATTGACCAATGTTATTGGATGTAGGTTTTTTCTTTCTTTCTTTCTTTTTTTTTTTTTGCCAAAATGTAATTGAAATTGATCCCAAAATAGCATCTAAGGACTCTTGTATAACGTGTTATATATTGCTTTTTATTTACTGTTTTTCATTTTTCATTTTTTGTTTTAATAAAGGAAAACAAGAACTGTCTTTGACCACGGTTTCTTCTTCTTGTTTTTTTTTTCTTTTTTTGAAAATAAAAATAAAAGTATATCTAGTAACCTTTCCTTCTTTTTTGTTTCTCCCCATTTTTAAATAAAAAAAGTTTGAAAATTGACTTTTTATATTAGATTTTCAAAATTCTACATTTTATTGTTTTTAAAAATATTTATTATACATTTAAGTCAAGAAGGAAAAAATACTACTTTCAAAAGTTACAAATATACATGCTTCAAAAAAATTGAAAAAGAGAACAAGAAATAAGAAAACGATGTTATACCAAACGGACCCTAAAAATTTTGAATATAATGCTATTTGTTATCGACGTTATGAAAATGGGTTCAATCTCAAAATAGTGTTTATAAATTTTTTTAATTTTTTTTATATTCGTGAGTGTCCAAACAAGCAAACTTGTAAGTCGACTAATCTTACGGGACAACTATCCCATCCTAAAGAAACTGCTAGAATATAAATCTTATGTATGTGGTCACCACGGTTTGAACCCTTCTTTCAAATTCTTTAGAATTTACCTCGGCTCATTTGAACCAATAGACTAATTCAGGATGGTTTGTGTTTTCGAAACTTTCGGACTCTAATCTATTTAACTATAGTAATCAGGTCCAAATCAATGTATATTTAATTATGGTAGGATCAATTAATTTTAAGACCCGAAAAAATATGAAATAGATATTTAACATTAAAAAAAAAGTAGAGAATGATATTTTTTTTTGTATCGCACTATTATTTTGTTATTTCTAAATTTAGGAATATGTCCTATCTCAATGACATCATAATATATTAACAACTTATTTCTATTGGGAAATTTTATCACAAAAAAAAAAGAATTTTGGAAGAAAAGAAAAATCAGAAAATGCTTAGAAAGTATATAGAATAGGGGCCTAAGGAGTGAGAGTGATAATTATTTTAAGTTACCAAAAAAAAAAAGAAGAACATGACAGCCAGCCATCCCCAAAGTTTTAGTGAGAGAAAATTCATTACTAATATCTTTTATAATTTATTTTTTATTTACCATTTTTGTTGGAGTAAAATCTTAATTCAATATGTTTATATTTTATTACTTGAAGAACATATGAATATAGGAGGAATAATTTCTTCTTCAAAGTATTATAATTTATAGAAATATTGGTGCAATATAATGTCAAAATATGAATACAAATACACTATTAAATGATTTAGATGAACCTAAGGTCTCTAACATTTTTTATAACAATTATCTTTTATTTCGCTTTTGTATTTCTAAAAATACTTTTGGTAACCATATTTCAAAAAAAAAAAAATCAAAATAAAATTTATCAACAAACCAGTAATCTTTTTAAAAAGCTTCTATGATTCTTCTTAGAATATAATAAACACAAATATAAATCATTTACATGTCCACAATATTTTTATGCTAAAATACAATTTAAAGTCTTAACTTAAAAAAAATGTAAATCTTTTAATTAGTTGAAGCATATATTCTCGATCAAGATGTAATGAATTCGAATCTCTCTTCTCACATGCTGTTGTATAAAAAAATAACATAATTCATTTAATTATCTATTGATATCTATATTAAAATTATAAATCTTAAATAATTAAAAAAAGAGTCATGTAATTCTTTTCTATTAATATCTGGTCTCGAATCGAAATTACATTTTTTCCCAACACTAAGAATCTAATTAGAAACGAGAGGATAAATATTAAAGACCATAACAATATATTCTAACTTATGTTACTATTTACAGGTTCGATATTTTCATCCACATCGATATTTAATTCGATTATAGCATCGGAGACATATGCACGGAAATGCATGTGTACTCGTTTTTCAGCATGCCAGTGACATTTTTCTCACCACTTTTTCATCCTACCCGACAAGATTGAAAGAGTTGTTTGTGTCTCTTTTGATTTAACCCATAATTTTGTCTCTCAAACCCACCATTTCTCTACTACTATTTTTCCCCCACTGTCGGGTTTGATGATTAATTAATTCAATTGTTTGAGATCAATTCCCATTGGTTTTTTAATATTACCTTAAAAAGTTTATAATGTTTTCATGGGATCGAGATTCATGCAGTCCAATGAAAAAATGGCAGCTCAAATTTATGGATTTTATAACAATTACACTCGAAAGAAGTTTTTTTTTTTAATGTATTTTTGACATTAGCGCCAGATCTAATAAGGGAATTTTTCTACTTGGTACTATATTTAATTTACATTAAATAAAAAAGCTTAAATTAATTACATGTTTTCTTTAGTATTGAATTTCAAACTCAGGATAATAACATTATAAATGTTTTGTTTATGGCCTATTTAATATTGTTTCTTGTTTTTTTTTTGTTTTTTTAATAAATAGAAAATAAAATTGTATTTGTTAATTGTTTCTTGATTATTGTTCCTTTTTTTAAATGAAAAGATAAACAGAAACATGTTTGATAATCATTTTTTTTAATTGGAAATGTTACTAACACTTATGTTTCTCAATAAAATTAAAATGAGAAATAAGAAACGAAAATGTTACCAAATGAACCAACGTTACATCGAAGAATAAATGGAGAGAAAATAAGAAAAAGTAAGTTTTGAGAAATATTGGACAAACTTATTTTTGCTTATTTTTTTGTTCTAAAACAGTTTTATATTTTAGTTGTCAAACTTACTATAACTCCACTGTTAATGATATTCAATGATCAAAAGATTAGGCATTTGAATAAAAAAAAGTCAATAAGGAAGAAGGATTTGATCGACCTTTAAAAAAGTAAATAATACCTTAACTAATTAAACTATGCTTGTGTTCGTTATCACAAACATATATTAAAGATAAAGTTATCCTAATCTATTGTAAAACTTGAAATTGCAGACTGAGCAAAGGTATTGCACCGGTTAAAAATGAGAAAGATCCCCTTGAAATGACATCTCAATTGTGCCCAAATGCCATTGGAGCACTCTCTGATATGACTACAAAAGCAACGAATTTCTCAACTATCAATCTCCTACTCCATCATTAGTTTATTAATGACAATATTTATATAGTATATGAAATGCATTGGGTATGGTATAAAAAGCAATAACTAAAAGTAGTTGTTAAACAAAACTTTTTATCGTAACTAATGTTCATGTTTCCATGATTAAGAGACCCCTGCGTTTAAGTTCAAATTTTCACTTTCATATTTGTGACGTGATGTTCTGAAAAAAAAAAGAAAAAAAAACATACTAATTCAATGGTTATTTTAATTGTGTTCGAAAGAGTGCAAATGGAAATGTAAATGAAGAAAAACATGATAAAAGTGAAATAATATGTAAAATATGAATAATAATGTCAATCCCGACCTATCTAAGTAGTTAGATATATGTAATTCGAATATGCATCTCTAATCAGAAAGGTAATATTAAAAAATAGTTTAGAGTAACTCACCATATGGGATGAATTTAAAAAATAATATAATTTTAAAAACGAACGTATATATCCAAACTAATTGACAAAAATAAAATAGTTTATGGTCAAAGTAAAAAATCGCACACCTTCAACATGATTTAAGGGGCCACGTATGATCTAACATGTAAAGTGTAGAGGTGAGCCAACATGTAAATTGTATGCAATTTAAGTGAAATCGCATACAAATACATGATTAATTTTTCCTCTTAAATTTTCATTTTATTTATTTCGATTTGGGACCACACTACACATGAGTTCGGTCAACGCATAGATTACACTAGATAAATCATGTTCATTGTTAGTTTCAACCGCATATGCCGTAAATTGTTTGCTCCTCAAATCGCCTTATTATGAACGCGATTTACATCAAAATCATATCCAATATAGGCAATTTACGGTAGCTACCCCATTTTCAAAAATGGTTTAAAACTCTCTGTAATTTATTTATAACGAAAGATTTTAAAAATCTCCCATCACAAATACACCATTTTTATAATTTTATTTTAATTTTTAAAAATAAAAAGCAAAGTTTGTTGGGCCTATTTATAAGTCCATCGCTTGTGGGCTCGACCTTTTTTGTGATCTAAAACTTAAAAATTAAACAAAAAAAAAAGTCTATATAATATTTATAATTAAAAAAAAAACAAATTGGACCCCAAAGAAAGAGTCCAATACGCCCCAATGCCAAAGGTACTGTCTTGATTTCGATTTTCCTTCCTTATCCCTTCTCCTTCGGTCCACTTAGCTCAAGCCCAATCTCTCTCTCTCTCTCTCTCTCTCTCTCTACGTCCCTTGTAAAACCCTAGATCTGAATCCATCGCCGGCCTGAAGCGCGGTCGCCGGGCTTCCGACGCTCCTCGCAGACTCCTCGTCTTCGTTTCTCTCCGTCTGAATTTCGGGTAAATTTTCTTCTTCCCTTGTCCTGTCGCTTGAGTTTTCTAAAATTTCGTCTGGGAGGGCCGGGATGAATCGAGGGCATTTTCCCCGTTTTCTTCGTTTTCTCTGCCTTTCGTTTTGTCGGGCAAACTGTATCTACATCGTTTCCTTTGTGTTTGTAGAAATTTGGTTGTTTCGGTGTTGATTTTGGGTTTGCGCGTTAGTTCGTAATGGTTTGTTTCATTATTTCGAATTCTGGATGGCTCTCCCGACTCTCTGTTCGTGGTATGATCTGGATTGTTTTTCTCGGCAGTGGATTTTCCTTTGATTCTGGGCTGTTTGCTAGAATCCTGTGAAGCCCAAAGTTCGATCGAACCAAACCCTAGATCGTAATTTGGATGACCTTTTTAGCCCGTCGAAGAAATTCTCGGAACCAAACCAAAAAAAAAGAAAAAAGAACCCTCATTTTGAGCTGTTCGGACCCATGTGGGCTCCACGGTGGGCAGGTGGAGTTGAGTGGCACTTGATTTGAAATTGTTAAAAATGGATCTTATTATCAGTTGTATGAAATTGGCCCGTTTAAGCTTTGTTCCATCTAAAATTGACACGTCATCTTCACTGGGGCCCAGACCCACTTGATGGCCCATTCTGAACCAAGTTCGTTCTTTTGCTTATATATTACACGACATCATTCCACCCATGCCAAATAAAATCAAAGTTTCTTACAAACTGAAATTTGTCATTTTTTCTTTTACAATTTGAAAAATGGTTGATTTCATTAAAGTAATGTGAAGTCTGCCTTTGTCAGCTGCATCGTTATCTTGCGGCTTCTAAATATAGTGGAGGGAGTCTTGATGGGATTCCCTTTTCTTAGTGCCACCCGACAAACTTTTCATAATGGGGTTTATCTATTTCATCTCGGGCTTCATTTTTTTAGTGGGATTTGAAACCAACCTTGATGAACCTATTTAGTCTGTTTAGAGGATGGCATGCTTGAATTGGATGATATATATTTTAAAAATTCTATAGAATCTATAGTAATCTTGATTTAAGCTTATGATGCCTGCCGTACGATTATTTATTTGGCTTAGACATAACTGGAGAAGTTTATTTGACTTTGCTTTATAGGAGACGGTGGTTTTCTTTCGTTCCTATTCCTTTGCTTGATATCTGTGAGAGGTTTTTTTTGGCTATGCGTGTTGGGTTCCAAGTTGACATTGATTGCTGTTGTTTGTACATTGATAATGTTGGTAGATGGATAATCTTTTTCTTTTCGTATGATTTGAATCTATGTGTTGCTGAAAATCGTTGAGTTCATATACATTGTAATTAAGTGAAGATAGTGCAAATTTGTTCTATCTTTGCGTATTATGTGAAAGAAAACCTTCCTTTGTTTTTCTTTTCTGTTCATTGAAAACTATTTCTTTTGAAGTTTTACTGCAGACTCATTGAGGCTTAAAATATTTTTTGGTCGTATGGAGAGGATGGTTTTGTTAAACCTAAGTCACATTCTCAGATGCATGCACGTTTTGTTTAACATTTCTTTGTAATAGATTGCAAGTAAAATTAAAATAAATTTTATAGAACTATATGTTTTGTTTTGTTTCCTTTAAGCCTTCTTCACTTTTTCAACCCCAAGTGACTTTTATATCTTTTCGGTACTGTTTTCCTAGATTCATCCAGAGGTTTAATTCACTGCTTATATAATTTTCTCGTAAAAAATTCTCCCGTCTGTGAGTGTGATGTGATATTGATATCTTGTATTATTTTCAAATGCAAGTAACCTCAAGGTCGATGCTATGTTTTAGTCAAACTAATTAATATCTTGTTGTTTGTACTCATTTGAAACTAAAAAGCTTCTGTACTCTGTTACCTCTGCTTTCCTGCCTGTTAGTTAATCTATCAGTATTTATGCTTTCCCGTGATCTCCAGCAGGAATTTTGCCACATCCTTTACTGTCTAAGTTTAGATGGTTACTATGTAGCAGGAATTATTTCTCCAAGTTGTAATGGAAACGCCTCATGAAATGATGTTAACTCCCTATGTGGAAAAGACGCCAAACTCTGATGAATATGGTGCGCTGACCAACACCGAAACACAGCCTAACAAAAGGAGGAAAAAGAAGTCCATAGTCTGGGAGCACTTCACTATAGAAACTGTAAGTGCTGGATGTAGAAGGGCATACTGCAAGCAGTGCAAGCAGAGTTTTGCATATAGTACGGGCTCGAAAGTAGCCGGTACCAGCCACCTTAAAAGGCATATTGCCAAGGGAATATGTGCTGCACTTTTACGCAATCAGGACAAAAGTCAGTTGACGCCGTCTACACCAGCTTCCAAAGGGAGTGATCCACCAAAAAGACGCTATAGAAGCCCCAACTCGTCTTACATCATGTTTGATCAGGAACGATGCTGCAACGAGTTCACTCGGATGGTTATAATGCATGATTACCAACCCAATATGGTCGAGCATCCGAGCTTTCTGTCTTTTATACAGAGTATTCAACCGCGATTTAACATGATGGATTTCAACCATTTCCAAGGGGATTGCATTGGAACCTACCTATCCGAAAAGCAAAATGTCATCAAATTCATTGAGAGTATCCCAGGACGTATTTGTCTTTCCCTGGACATGTGGACATCAAGTACAACGGTTGGTTATGCTGTAATAACAGGACACTTTGTTGATAGCGATTGGAAGCTGCACAGGCGGATTCTCAGCGTGGTCATGGAATCATGTCCTAATTCTGATACAGCTCTCAGTCATGCAGTTTCAGAATGTCTCTCTGATTGGAATTTAGAAGGTAAACTATTTTCTCTCACCTTTAATCACCCTGTCACTGAGTCTGCACTTGGAAATTTGAGGCCTCTGCTTGCTATCAAAAACTCCCTTATCCTTAATGGCCAATTTTTGGTTAGTAATTGCATAGCACGTACGTTAAGCAGCATTGCAAACGATGTGTTAGCAGCGGGATCGGATCTAGTTAAGAAAATTCGGGACTGCGTAAAGAATGTAAAGTTGTCTGGGTCCAACGAGGCAAAGTTTCTTGAGCTTAAAGAACAGCTTCAGGTCCCAACAGAGAGAAGCCTGTGCTTGGACGACCTAACACAATGGAACACGACTTATCTAATGCTGATTGCTGCATTCGAGTTGAAAGAAGTGTTTTCGTGCATGGATAATTCTGATCCTGATTACAAAGAAGTGCCGACAAGGGACGATTGGAGGCAAGTTGAGACTCTTTGTACATGTTTGAAAGTACTCTTTGATGCTGCAAGCATTCTCAGCACCGTAGACAACCCAACAGTGATTACCTTTTTTCACGAAGTATGGAGGATTCACTTGGAGCTTGCCCGTGCACTCACCAGCGAAGACCCGTTCACCTGCAGCCTCTCGCAAATGATGCAAGAAAAGATTGACAAATATTGGAAGGATTGCGGCCTGATTTTGGCTGCAGCTGTAGTTATGGATCCTCGGTTCAAGATGAAACTTGTAGAGTTCAGTTTCAATAAACTGTATGGCGAAGAAGCTCCTGCATATATTAAGATTGTCGACGATGGGATCCATGAGCTATTCCACGAGTACATCACACTTCCGTTGCCTCTAACACCGACTTATGCCGAAGAAGGAAATGGGGGAAGCAACATTAAGTCAGAAGGATCCCAGAGTGGAAGTCTTCTTTCTGCCAATGGACTCACAGATTTTGATGTCTACATTATGGAGACCTCAAGCCAACAAATGAAATCCGAACTCGATCAGTACTTGGCCGAGTCTCTGCTGCCCCGCGTTCAGGACTTCGACTTGTTAGGGTGGTGGAAGCAAAACAAGATGAAGTATCCAACTCTTTCGACAATGGCTCGTGATATCTTATCAGTACCAGTTTGTACCCTCCCCCCTGAATCCATATTTGACATGGAGGTTAAAGAGATGGATTCATTTCGGAGCTCATTGCGACCAGCTACTGTCGAAGCAATTATATGTACACGGGACTGGCTGCAATGTGGATTTGCAGAAGTTTCAAATGCACTTGTAAAAATGGAATATTAGAGAGTAGGCCTTAGTATCTTGTGTATTTTATAGGCTGTGGAATCATATATATACTCTTAGTCGCCATTAACATAGCAGCTTCCTTCTTCTGCACTCTAATTTTCTACAGATGGAATTAAGGTTGAAGAGAGATTGGTCAAGATGGTGAAATGCTTCTCAACGATCAAATGTTCTCTTGATGTTCTTTTCTTGAGCTGATTGGTTGTTGAATTGCTGCTGATAATTTCCCCCATTAAAAGTGATCTCGTAAAGTTGATGGAAAAGATTTTTTTGTACATGTTTTTTTTTTTCAATCTCATTCATAATGTTTTATAGGTTTTAATTTTAAAAGTTCCAATCTTCAATGCGGTGGTTAGTTTTTAGATTTATTTTTCATGTGACTTGGTTTACAATCGTTAACATTTTCTTTCCTTCTCTTTTTTGAGTTTAACGATCGAGAGTATGTACAAGGTGGGACCAACCACACTAATATTCCGACGCTCAAATTAGTAATTATTTGACATAAAGCTTTTAGAACGAGGTATTTGGTCTCACCTTTCAATTTGGTTATCAATCTTTTTTATCCTTATATCAAAATTTTCAATTAGATCACTCCCCCTGTAACAAAAAGTTATAAAACATTAAATTACTACTTTATTAATATATTTAGACATATAAACCTACCATTAGGTTGTATGATAGAGAGAGAAAAAACCTACCACAATGCTTGACACATGAAACATAATTCGTCCCTCAGTACAATTGAACGAGTTGATTAACAAAATTTATTTTTTAAATCGGTTATCCATGTGATATGCGAACATGTCCAAATATATTAATTAAACAATAATAGTAGATTAGCTTTATATTAACAAATCTTAACTTTTCTTTTTTAATGTAAGAATAGAATTTTTAATTCGTCAATGGTAAAATTGAAAATTTTTAAGATTTTTAAGATAAAATTTTCAAGTACCATTAATTCTATTATTTAGTCTAGTAAATATAAAGGTGAAGGACTTCATACTGCAAAAGGAAAAACTCTGCTTTCTCTCCCTCGCCCACCGGCCACCGCTTGCCGCCGCCGTCTTAGCCGGAAGTCAGCCGGGGAGCGGCAGATCATAGCAGAGCTGCGGTTTGCTCTCTATCTCCTCATCTCACAGAAGCCAACAGGAGCTGCAGGTCTGTGGTTTTTTCTTCGCCTTCTTCTTCCCTATAATACCCTTTCTTTGCCTTTTGTAAATTTCAATCTTCGTCTTCCGATACATTGTTGGGAGTGAATGCTTGTAATTTGTTTTTAAATTGTTCGGATTGGAAAATCAATCCCGCGGTGTTTTATTGCCCTTCCTAACGTAGCCATTCCACCATTAGAGCTTTTGGGTGTAAATAGCGAATTTGCTTTGAAAATCTGTAAAACCTTATTAGGGCTGGTGAAAGGTCATTTGTGCAAATGAATAGAGTAAAGAGCTCAGCGGAAATGAGTTCATTTCAGATTATGGCGGCCATGAGAGTAGTCTTCCGTGTAAACTGATGAAAAAAGAGTAATGGGACTTAGGAAATGGGTCAAATTCCATGATGCGAGACCTTGGACATTAAAATCTTTTGAATTCTCTTAGCAACCAAATATTGCAAATATTGTAGGATCAGAAAGTTATGGTGTGAGATCAGTTGAGCTGCTTTCGAGATCATCTGGACACTTACAAGTATCAAAATATGAATATAGAGAATGTAATTCTTTGTACATGAGCAACTTAGTTATCCCATTTCTACCGGTGACATCCGCTTGACACTTATATTTGCTTCACATGGTAGAAAGGATTGTTCTGGGTCAGTGTCAATGTTATTTGAAAGTTGGAGTTTATCTTTTTCTGATGACGTAGTTATCCTATGAAAGAAATTTCCAATACTCCACCCATTTTTTCTACTATGAATTGACGTAATGTTTTTTTTCTCACTAACGAAATACTCAGAAAATTGTGGATACAATGAATCTGTCTCCATTCAGGCTTGATATTGATGAGCTGATCACTGAATATGCTGAGGTAGCTCTTAACCACTTCGAAATTTTGTTGAATTCCTCTTTGTGCTAACTTGAATATTGAAAGATGTTAGTTTTTGAATCTCTAACCCATGGGTACAGGGTGGATATACATCTTTTGCGGATATGAAAAATGTATGGACTGGAAGAAAATTCACTTACATATTTGAGGCTGCTCCTTCCAACTTAGCATTCTTTATGCAGTCGATGTATGCGCAATCAATTGGTAGGCTCTAGCATAATCAACTTGGTCATTTATACATTAACTTGTTGGAAAATTGGCTGTTTCTTCTAAATTATGATGAACAAAGCTCTTTACTTCAATTTGTTGTTTTTCTTGAGGTGAAAGTTTCTACTATGTGTTACTAAGAAGAATCTTAACACTTCCTTTTACAGGCCACATGGTCGGTACTGCTTCTTTGTCACGCAGACTAGGTGGTTTTTATTGCCTTTACTGCCTTTACGAAACACAACCGTTTAAGCCCCCTTATAAAATCTACCTATCTATAGGTATGATTTTTCTAAATCAATATATATGTAAATTTTGCCTATTTCTTCTTTGGTTATTGGTTATTTTACTGCTCTCCCACATTTATAGGAGAGTTCTATAGGTATGATTTTTCAAAATCAATATATATGTAAATTTTGCCTATTTCTTCTTTGGTTATTGGTTATTTTACTGCTCTCCCACATTTATAGGAGAGTTGAAGAAACTGAAGGAACTTGTTGTTGATGCAAAAGAAAAGAATGTAAAAGTGGCATCTGCTGTGGCGAAAAGAATGTTAGAAAAGAACATGTTCCTCTTTGGGTCTGTGGACATGAATGAGAGCTCTGCTTTGGAAACTGTGAATCAACTCACAGAATTGCAAAATGCCCGCATTCAAGTCGCCTATAATAAGTATGTTAGACAAACCGATGATTGCTCTTTTTATTTGAGATATATTGTATTTTTCATGATATCTTTATAGCACTTCATCTCATTAATCCTCGATTTCTACTTTTGTCTAGGTTATTTTCGGATACCCCAATAGAAGATTATATCCATATGGACTTGGTAAGTGAAAAGTATAGAAATTTATGGCCCATTTAATGACGTCCTTGTTTCTTGTTTCTCATTTCCTCTCTTTTGTTCATCGTTTCCTTGTTTTTAATTAAGGAAACATAACTATGTTTAATAGGTGTTTCTTGTTCCTTGTTCTTTTTTTTTTCAAACATGTTTGGTAACCATTTCTTGTTTTCTTCTTCTCTAAAATTTGAGATTAAAAGAAGTAAAAGTTTTATATGAAATTTAATATTTCAAATTAAATATTTAAAACTTTTATGCTATATTTATTGTGTATTTTAAAATAAAAATGATAAATAATGCTTTTATCTATGTTTGGAAAAAAGATGAAAATAACAACAAGAAACTTGATTTTGTTGTTTCTAAAATTTCTACACAGTTTTGGAAAAGTTTCTTAAAAATAAGAAACGAGAAACATGAACGTTATTAAATGCTTATGTTTCTCAAACATTGGAAACGAAAAACAAGAAACAAAAAATAGGAACGTTACTAAACGGGTCTTTAGCTGCTTTGTTTCTGAACCACTAAATTTTAGTACTCGTTTAACTTACTTTGCGAACGCTCTATTATTCTATCTTTCTCTTTGAATTTTTCTTAACCTCATTAATACAGGGGATGGAAGTTGGTTTGAATGTATTAAAAAAGATGTCAACAGATTATTCAGAGGCTAAGAAGCTTGCATTATATGGTAATTTCTATCATCCCAATCTGTTGTCTCTCTATTGTCTGTTCTTTATGATCTTTGATGTAGATACTTCTTTCTGTATAAGTTTAACTCATTTTTTCCTCTGCCTTCTCCGTCTTGGCACCTAATTTATTTCTAAAGAAGCAAGTGACATCCTGGACGTCCAGGACATAAAGCACATATCAGAAGATGATAGATTGATTGGAGATACAGTAGAACAGATTGCTGAGAACTGGAATGTTCAAAGAGGAGTTTTTTATGAACAAACCGGACTTGACCGTCAGCTTGTTCCAGTCGAAGCACACAAAGAGAATCAGTTACTAGTACATCATGCCGATGAAAATTTTGACAAGGAACTTGAAAGAATGCTAACCGATATTTAATGAGGTACATGATCCTGTCTAATTCTTGCTTTGTCTGCTCGGTTTTCGAATTGCCAAATCTTGTTGCCTGATTTTCTGTAAGGAGCGTTATGACATTTAACTAGCTGAAGTCGCTAGACATCCGAAAGGGAGACAAAGACTTAACTCACGGTTCTTTTCAATGGGGAAGGCCAAAGTTAAGCCTTCTAAGCCACAGTGAATGTAGCACCATATGAATTACATCAAATGGCTTTGCTGGCCTATTTATCTTGAAATGCCTCTTAACTTTGGTCACTCCTTTGTGCATCTTCAAATACTTCTCTCCTGAGATAGCCTTCAAGATTGTTTTTATTTCTGTTATTTTTTGAACAGGTATCTGCACTGAAAACTGACTCCAATCTAGAACATCGCTGAATGGTAACGAATAATTATCGGAAATGATCACCGGAACACAACCACCATAAATGGCTTCCACCACCCTTGGGCTCGCCACTTCGTAGCCACTAGGGCAGAGGCAAAACTTGCTTTCTCCAATCAATTTGGTGTAGTTTTGAGTCTTTGGAAGGTACTCGTGAACTTGAACTTCTTTGTCTTTGTCCTTCCAATGCTGGATCAATACCTTCCTGATGTATCCATGAGCTCCTCCGGCGAAGAAAGCTAGAATTGGGCGGCGCTCTGGAGGCTGGCCTAAGTCTGGCGGCCCTAAAGTTCCGGGATGGATGTTAATTTCCGGGAGCGGAATGTCTAGGTTGGGACGAAAGCCTTCTGTGATGTTTGCATTGCATATTATCCTGATGAAGTTCTTGAACAGTTGAGGGTTGGCATCTGAGACATCTGGTGCCTTGAAATCACCATTAGAAGTTTAGAGGAGGAAGCATTTGAATAAAAAGTTGGCAATCTTAGAAACGAAAGACTTGGTAAATAGAATCTTACCCAATCATGACATGAAACCATAAAATGATCAGCGCCGCTGCTTCGATTCCAATATGGATACCTGTTGGCAACAAGCTTAACGTAATCAGTCGTAACGCGGTGCAGGCGATCGCGACTGTAGTCAGCAGGAGAGGTGATTGGTCTGTAAATGAAATGGATGATGTTGGTTATGCTCAAAGGAAGCAGAAATGCATGAGCTTGATCAGGATGGCTGGCTCTGAAGGGGCTCTTGCTGCAATCTAACTCATCTATGAATTGACCTTCAATGGCATATATGCTATTCAATGGACCGTCATGGACCAGAGGCTGTTCACCTTCTCTATAACTCCACACCTTGAACCTTTTAACCATCTCTATGTGGCTTCTGCAAAACACTTGGGAATAAATTGTAAGCATATTGTCCGATAACGATTTTGTTTTTTCGTTTTTATAAAGAAGATAGTTCGGTAATTTGTTTGTTTCTTTTCTTTTTCCAATCTTTTAAGAAATGTGTTTGAAGTTCTAGCCAATATTAAATGTTAGTAGCAAACAAGCCCAACAGTCGAACTCTAAAGCTGTTTGTTCTTTTTTCAGTTGGGAAACTCAACTGATGAAAAGCATAAGCATTCCTGTAGATGGAGCCTCTGGGAATGTAAGTTTCTTTCTTCTCTGAGGTGAAGTTTTTCCACAGAACTGCATTTCGGATCGATGCTCGAGCTTCAGCCAAACTTGCTTCAATCATCCTCAAGCTCGTTTTACTCTTCTGCTCCAAACAAAAACCGAAAAACTTGAAAAAAACCAACAAAAACAAAAAGCAATGAAAAGAATAACCTTGTTTTGCATGCTTACTTTGACAGCAGTAGCTTTCATGGGCTTGTTGCTTTCTCTCGTGGAGGTTATGGGAAGCAGAGAGGCAGCAAGTGGGAAAGCTTCAGTTGCTTGTGACAGTTCCAACAATGGCGGAAGAGAGAGAAACAGAATAAGAAAGAGAAGAAGAAGAAGGCTTGCTGGAAGTAACAAGCAAGGGAGATGGCATTTGAAGCTTGCCATGGCTGAATTAACTTCAAGCTCTCTCTCTCTTAAGCTTTTTCCTTTTCAAGTGCCTCAGGAAAGAGAAACTGAAGAGATTGCCAGTTGAAAAAAAGGTTTGATTTTCTTCCTTCCTCCAAAATCGATGTGATTTATTATTCAAAGTGTGATTAATTAATGCATTTAGATGAATGATATGGAGAAATCTGAAGAAATTGTTGCTTGGAAAGTGTGATGCTTGTAGACAACGATAACCCTCTTTCAGATTTCTTGAGCTTACAAATTCCATATAGTTTGAATATGTTTACAAATTTAGTCCTTTTTTAACCAACCCTGCATTTGACTCTTATTCATTTACCTTATAATAATATGTTTACATTGTCAAGTATTTGAAGTCATCTACGACACTTCAAAACAGATTGAGAGATCCTAACAAGATCATTTTCATTTTTCTTTTTCTTACCAGTAACAATTTAGATATAACAAATTAATGATGAGCGGTTATAAACTGTTTTTTCAATGACCTATAATAAATTCACATGATCTTAACTATTGACACTCTATGGTCAAGAGGTCATGAGTTTGAATTTTATGCTCCAATTGTTGTATTAAAAAAAATGAAGTGCTAAAGTCCAAGGATTAGAATTAATATTCTAAAAGTTAAAGGACCAAGATAGTAAATTTTGTCAACCATGTAAAAAGATGAAAATTCAAGTAAAGTAGAATAAAATTAGAGGATTTGTAGCTATTTTAGACGAAGTTAATGATTAATCGATTGATTAAGAAAATTGAAGCATTGACTTGAAAGAAATTAATTTCTTCAGCACCTTTATGTATTGAATATATATATTTTGTTGTTTGAAGCACAATATTTCATGTGGAATTGAAGTTAGGATCTTGGATCACACACTTTAATTGAAGTTCAAGCATTGTATAGAGATCCACAAAATTCTAGAGAGAGAAATCTAAGTGAATACAAACTTTGGAAATCACCATTTTTGTGAAAAATGTGATTTCTTTTCTTTTGATCTATACATTCTTAATTTTTCATTCATATATTTGAACAAAAATAAACTCATATAAAAAATAAATCCATAGTAGTTTATCTCTGGCTACTATATTCGGCACTATGATAATTTTTCTCATTTATTTAGCAAACGATTAATTGGTATATTATTCCAACACTAAACCAAATCCAAAGAATGAAAAAGGGGAAAATCAAAGCAAAAGATGAGTCGCTTCTAGAAAATATCTAAGATACTCTTCGCTGTTTATTTTTAAAAAATTATTTCTTCTTCATTTCATTTTC